TTCCGTTGTTCTAGTTTAAATAAATATAAAGTAACATGTAAATCTATTTCGTTTTTACTGTTTCTTATATAACGCTGCGCTTTCCGTTGTTCTAGTTTAAATAAATATAAAGTAACATGTAAATCTATTTCATTTTTACTGTTTCTAATATATCGTGGCGCTTTCCGTTGTTCTAGTTTAAATAAATATAAAATAACATATAAATCTAATTCGTTTTTAGTGTTTCTTATATAACGCTGCGCTTTCCGTTGTTCTAGTTTAAATAAATATAAAGTAACACGTAAATCTATTTCATTTTTACTGTTTCTCATATATCGTGGCGCTTTCCGTTGTTCTAGTTTAAATAAATATAAAGTAACATGTAAATCTATTTCATTTTTACTGTTTCTTATATAACGCTGCGCTTTCCGTTGTTCTAGTTTTAATAAATATAAAGTAACATGTAAATGTAAATCTATTTCATTTTACTGTTTCTTATATAATGCTGCGCTTTCCGTTGTTCTAGTTTAAATATAATATATAAAGTAACATGTAAATCTATTTCATTTTTACTGTTTCTTATATAATGCTGCGCTTTCCGTTGTTCTAGTTTAAATAAATATAAAGTAACATGTAAATCTATTTCATTTTTGCTGTTTCTTATATAACGCTGCACTTTCCGTTGTTCTAGTTTAAATATATATATATAAAGTAACATGTAAATCTATTTCATTTTTGCTGTTTTTTATATAACGCTGCACTTTCCATTGTTCTAGTTTAAATAAATATAAAGTAACATGTAAATCTATTTCATTTTTACCTACTACTTTTTTATATGTTATAGTGGGCAATCAATTTCCAACTATAACCGAAAGAAGGAAGGAAGGAAGGAAGTAAGAACATGTTCCAAATTCACTGAGGAGAGAGAGAGAGAGTGCCAAAAGGCATTAACTGCGCCCTTTTTTAGTCCTTCTTATTCAGGTGTATTATACAATAAAATATTAATAAATTACCGTGTAGTGGCAGCAAGAGAAAATCCGCTACCCTATGAACCAGGGAGTGTCGTAAGAGCTGACACAGGGAAATAAAACAAAAGATGAACATGACACTACATCTTATTGGTAACAACTTAAAATGAAAATAAAACTCCGGTTTCCAACCTGCCAGCCAAACGTGGCAACTTTTCCAATTGGAATTCCTTCTTTTTCCCCCCTTGAAGTAATCTTTAGAGTAGGCCTAAGTTTTAACAGAGGTTTTTTTTTGTTGTAAAGCCATTGGTCCTGCGCCTCTCTCTATCTTTCCCGTTGTGTCGGATTGTGAGAATGTGAGATGTTAATACCGTATCCTTTTCAGTCCAGTAGCTTGAAAACGTCTTCCAATGCAGCCGCGAAGAGTTTCGGGGATATAACATCACCCTGTCTTACACCTCTCTGCAGTTGGATAGGTTTCGAACTCTGGTTGGATAGCCATCGTAGCCCTACTGTACAAGTACTTCTGCGCTTCGATATACTTACAGTCAACTTGGCACCGCTGTAGCACTGTAGCACTGTAGCATCGCCCAAATTTTGACGGAATCGAAGGCTTTCTCATAGTCCACATACGCCAGGCAAAGTATGTATGTGGAGTGTGCAGCAGGGTATGTATGTGGTCTATGGTACTGAAGCCTTTTCGGAAACCGGCTTGTTCGGGAGGCTGAAAGTCGTCGAGTCTGCGTGCAAGACGATTCATAATGACTCTCGAAGACAGCACGTAGACGCGGCTCAGAAGGGAAACCGGTCTGTAGTTCTTCAAAAGAGCGTTTTCACCTTTCTTAAAGAACAAGACCACCGCACTTCTGCTCCACGCCTCAAGAGTAGTGCCACCATGGAGGACGGAGCTGAAGAGCTTCTGAATAACTTTAAGTACCGGTGTTCCACTCGCTTTCAGATGCTCCGCTGTAATTCCATACTCGCCTAGGGCCCTGCCGTTTTTATGGTGCTGGAGAGCCATTCTAATCTCGCTCAGACTAACGTCCGGGATATCATCGGAATAGTTTCGGATAAGACTTGCTCTTGTATCGTTACTCACACTTGCGTGTGACTCCAACGATGATGTATGCAGTTGCCCACAGAACTTCTCAATCTCACTCAAAATCTCAGGTGTCCCGGAAACGATGCTGCCACACTCAGTCTTCAGCTTTGACAGTTGGCTCTTTCTGGTAGACAGATCGGACAGACAGACGTCTTATCTTCTAATTTTACACTGTACAACCATGCTGCAGCTTTATTATTGTTATAGAACGAATGTTTCGGCTCAACACAGGAAGGACAACGCTCACTCAGAACACCAGCGCGAAATAACAGTTGCATGCTGTTGTGTTTCATATGGTGAGTGTAGAGAACCCTTTTTACTTGGAGAAGGCCTTTTTACTAAAAACGAGGCATTATATCTTCCTCAGGGTTGACAACGCATCATATTGCAAATAAAAAAATCGGAGACGTGAAGTTTGTCAACACGCACTTAAAAAGTTATTTTAAAAGTTAAGTTATACTTACAGCCCATAAACCTCTCACTATTGGGCACAGGTCTCAATGCGTGTTGTTTGACTTAATATGTCTTTGAAATACCTTTTTTATTTTTATTTTTAAATTTCTTATACATGCAGCCACACTCATCCTCACGATGTTTTCCTTCACCTCTGAGCACGTGGTAAATGAGAACTTAAAATTTCATTTAACAATTCCACTGTTGCCGGCAGGGATCGAGCCCAAGTTGCTCGCGTTCTGTGAAACTTTAAAAAAATGCTTAGCTCGTTAGCTACCGCGCACCAATTTATATTTAATATCTTACTTTACTTTACTTATATTGAGATACTTAATTTCAATACAAGACAAAATATTCGTAAATTTAAAAATTTTACGCATGACAAAGCCATGCTGTATCTACATTGTGGTTGTATTACGAGTGGGTCGATTCGACCGGCGATGAACCAGGCTGCCACAACCTACCAGTTTAAAATAGCAGCTCAATATTACAGTGTTTCGTTTAGTGAGTGTTGATAATCATAGACCCTTTCCACTGAAAACGATAGATTTCATCCTGGTACACAGGGGTGAAAATGCATCTTCATTTTGATTCTTAATTGAGGTTAAGTGGATGGATAGGTTGACTGGTGCTCGTTTGTCACTCTTATTATAAAAAAATAAATTGAAACAATGATTCGTTCAATAATAATAATAATTGAGCACACTATTCCTAACTTTAAATCCTTACGGTCAATTTTAACTTTATTTCTACAAAGTGGATATTACGTCGTTTGTATTAGAGTCAGTATACACAGCTTAGTCATGGTTACACACTGTCGTTTAATACTGCCATTAACCGTACTTTGATGACTTAGAGCTTAACTACTTTTACTACTTTAACTTCATTATGCAAGATAAATTTGAGTTCAGTTTTAAACAGGTAAGGTTTTAATTGTGTGATGAGAGACAAGCGAATTTGTGGGTAGATGTGACTAGAATTAAGAAAATAATGCTTCGGTGGTTTTAATAGATAGAAAGTATAAGATAGAATGCCTTATTACTAGTTAAAAGTGTCTAATTACTCAACCTATGGAACATAGCTGCATCATGCTGCTATTTTGTGCTGAAATTCTTTGAGCAATTTTTTCTTCTCGGCCAGTAAAAGTCCACTGAAAAATACACACAGCATTTATGAAAAGTATTTATTATGTTGATGTATTTTACGACTTTAAAACTTAAATCCTTTATGCAGGGTCTGTTACTCTCCTGTAATTCCCCTGATGTTGCAGATGTTCACCGGCGACGGTGGTCACTTACCGTCATGATCCCTATGCTATGCTAAAAAAACCGAGTTGTTACTATTACCGTTAAGTTATCATAGAAGTATTTTTTTAAAACCTGCAGTTACCAACATGATTGACAAGCGTGGCAACTATGGCAAATATCCCCCCCTATGATGTAATAGTGGGGAAGGCCTATGTTCAGTATTGGACTTAAAGTTGTAACAGTGACGGAATATACTAAAAAAATTGGAAATACTCAGGGTAGTAGGTATTTATCTCGAATGATGTCAGGCTTACTGATTGTTACGACTGCCAAAGTTTTATTTCAATTAAAAAATAATTTTAAATATCTGACTTTTTGAGACTATAAAGGCTGTACTAATACAAAGCGGTCACTTGGGACATATTGATAGGGTTCGATATCTATCGATTTAACCACCGTGTGTTTTGTCATATTCATTTCTTAAGGTTATTTAAAACGTTGTCATTAGTGTGTAGAAGTCAGATTTTGGTAGTGAAAAATGTTTAGGCGCGCTGGGTGATTTTTGAATCGGTAATATTGTATGGGTTCGGGTCACCGCTCTTTTTAGCTAATATAAGTAAAATAAAAAATAAAAAACAATATAATTATTTAATTGCCGTATATTAGCAGAAGAGAATCTACTATTCCAAATCATCCCGTAAGTTTCGTAAGAGACAATAGAAATAAAAGAAACAGTAGAAGGGCAGCAGCTCGCTGGTTGCATTTTGTTAACAACTAAAAATAAAATTTGTGGCTGCTCATTAACCAGTTATGCATGACAACTATTGCATACACCCCATGCGAGGCAATCTATGGAAATGGTTTATGGCCAACAGTAGACTTACGATAGGCTGTAATTAATGAATTATTTAGTACTGGCACTATTTGGTCTTATCAATAATAACCTAACGATAAGCTGAAGCTCTCGCCTCATTACCGACGCAGAACTGAATCAAGAGGAAACGGACTATTTTAATTGTTCCTACGTGGGTCATTAGTGATGGATCGGATTCAAACAAGCTGCGGAACTACACTAAAAATCCATTTATTCAAGTCAGTCGGTAGACGGTAAACGAAACAAACGTACGTATTGCGCTGTTGCCAGTCGATCGCTATTGTTTTTGTAGTCGGAGTTTCTCAAACTTTATCTTAACCAACATGTTTATGTGTCACCGGTGTAATAGTGAAGCCAGGGATGGTGTGCAGTGTACGATGTGCCTCAACCGTTTCGATTTCCCATGTGCAGGAATAACAGAGGCAGGATATCGCAAACTTGGGGACAGAAAGGCTACTTGGAAATGCAATACCTGTAAGACAGGAACTGCGAGTCCTAATCTTTCTTCCGAGAAAACAGTACAAGGAAGGGTACCATCTTATGGTGATCTGGAGAATATTCGTCTTGAGCTTAGTAAGATTACCAAACAAATATCGTCATTACCACAGTTAATTGCAAGTGTCAAGACTATCCAGGCTGACATCTCAGATCTTAAGGATATGAAGAGTGAAATGATGGACGTTAAAAACTCCTTGAACCATGTGCACACTTCGGTTGAGGGACTTACTAACAAATTGACCGAGATCGATCGGGAAATTCAGTCTCTTCAAAAAACTAAGGATGATGTTGTACGTGTTGAACATCGATTGGAGAAGCTTGAGGCCGCTGTACGCGAAAATCAGCAAAGATCGCGCCTGAACAACATTGAGATCAAAGGCGTTCCTGTAACCTCCTCTGAAAAACTACGTAGCAAGAGTACCTCAGCGTAATAATAAAAACACCAAAAACATCATTTTGTCACTTCACACCCGTTACCTGAGAGATAATTTTATAGCTGCTGCTAAAAAATGTAAAACTTTAACTGCTGCGGATTTAGGATTGAGAAGTGATAGCAGGATTTTCGTTAATGACCACCTTACGTTTGAGAATAAACAGCTACTTAATAAGACAAAAGCTCTTGCAAGGGAGAAAAATTTTTCTTATACATGGGTAAAAAACTGTACAATTCTAATGAAAAAGAATGCGACATCTCCTACATATGCAATAAAAACGGAAGCAGATTTAAAGAAGATTTTTTTGAATATAAATTTCTTCATTTCTATATCAATTTGTGAAACAAGTTTGAGAAACACTGGTACGTTAAGTCTATTCTATTTATTTATCTTATCACTGACGGTACACGTTGTTGTTCTGTTGTCGCTCGGTTTAATAGCTGCTCAGTGCATTTTTTATTTGTACCTTAAACTATATGTGATATTAGTTAAGATAGCGTTTAGTTTGACAAATATTAAATTATTTCTTGCGGTATTTTATTGTTGTATAAATGATCAATACTTCTTCGTTGATACTTATACTACACATTTTGCGTCTTATTTCTTTAGCGATTGCTGCAATATGAACAAATTGGCGCTGTTATTTGCTGTAGTTAAACACATCCATATACTTTTTATTAATATTATTTATTTACCACCACACTTTAGGTGCGTATTCGCACTTCTTTTTATGTTATGGTATGTCATTTTCAGCGCTATTTCTGTGTTTTTGTATGATTTTAATGATGGCTGTTGAAATATACTATCAAAATGTACGTGGTCTGCGAACAAATGCATCAAATTTTCTGAGAAATGTATGTATTAACAATTATGATGTTATATGCTTGACGGAGACGTGGCTTAACGATGACTTTTGTAATAACGAGCTCTTTGATGACCGTTATGTTGTTTGGAGACGTGATAGAAACTATAATGTTACAAATCAAACGTTGGGAGGTGGTGTGCTTATTGCTGTTAAGCGTGAGCTTGCAGTGGAGGAGCGGGTCGACTGGCGTTCTTCTGCCGAAGACATATGGGTATCGTTAACTCTTCGGCGTTCCAAACCGAAAATGACATATAAACTGCATATTTGTACGATTTACTTATGCAGACAAAACCTGGGTAACTCATTATCTGCACAGTTAGCTTGTTTTTATACAAAGTTATACGACATAGTAACGACCAATCTAACTGATGCTTTCGTTATTTTGGGAGATTTTAATCTACCAAATATAACTTGGACTCTTGACGATGACTTGTACTCTCTTTGTCCAGAAAATATTGAGGGGTCCATTCAGTCCGACTTTTTTGACACCTTAAATATGTGTAATCTGCAGCAATATAACTCTCATACCAATGTTAACAACAGAATACTCGACTTAATTTTTTTGTAATAATCACTTATCCGCAACAAAATGTACCGACCCTTTAGTGCCTGAAGACCCTCATCATGTGGCTCTTAATGTTCTAACGGATTTTGTCGAGTGCCACACTTTACCAGTCCAGCCAAGGACTAAGTTTATGTACCATTTAGCTGATTTCTCCTCTATATCACGAGAGCTTGATAATTTTACATGGTCTCACGATCTTTTTAAGGGCACAGTGGACGATGCATTGTCACTATTATATACTCGACTAAACAACTTGTGCGGCACTTACATACCAACAAAAGTAGTAAAATCTTCTTCTAAATATCCCCCTTGGTATAAAACCCCTCTTATAAAAATTTTAAAGGAAAAGTTTAAATATCATACCAAATATAAAAAATATGGCAATTTGTCAGATCATGAGTCTTTTTTAGTATTACGTAATCGCGCCAAACAATTAGAATCCGAAATGTTCAACAATTATATAGCAAAGATAGAACTCAGCATAAATAAATCGCCAAGGACCTTCTGGTCTTTCGTGAAATATAAAAAAGCGTCAAACGCTTGTCCATCTATAATGAAGTATGGACACATATCATCAGGCCAAGGGGATACTATTTGTAATATGTTTAGCGATTTTTTCTATGGTAATTTTCACAAAGTTCGCAATAACTATAACACCCGATATGAGCCCGATAATTGGCGATCACATACTGTGTCGGGTATAAACTCGATACAAGTTAGCGAAACTGAAGTCTTTAAGCTTTTAAACTCGATTGACCTTAATAAATCTGCAGGCCCAGATGGTATACCACCCATTCTTATAAGTAAGTGTGCTAAAAGCTTGACTATACCGTTAACAATAATATACAGACGTTCTCTCAAGGAAGGAATAGTACCTCTTATTTGGAAATCTGCATTTATTACCCCCATCCATAAAAATGGTCCAAAAGACCGTGTAGAAAACTATAGGCCAATATCCAAGCTTTGTTTATTCAACAAAATCTTTGAGAAAATCGTATACTCGTCTGTATATCATGGCATCAAACAAACACTCAGTGATTATCAACACGGCTTTTTAAAAGGTAGATCCACGGTTTCGAACCTTATTGTCTGTTCTGACTATTTAACTAACATCATGTCTGAGCGCTTACAAGTTGACGTAGTCTACACTGATTACAGTAAAGCGTTTGACCGTTTAGATCACGTTATACTTCTCAGAAAACTACTCGAGGTAGGTATCAGCGGCGACCTGTTTAGGTGGTTTAAATCTTATATTGAGAATCGTTGTCAGACAGTAGTACTCAATGGGTATACGTCAGCAACTGTGCAAATCCCTTCAGGTATACCGCAGGGATCTCTATTAGGTCCTTTGCTATTTGCGATTTTCATAAATGATATAGGTTCCTGCTTCACTTACTCCAAAATAATCCTTTATGCTGATGACATGAAAATTTTATGTCCCATTACAAATACTTCTGACTGCCTTGGTTTGCAGCGTGATCTCAATGAACTTGAACGATATTGTTCACGCAATAAACTTGACTTGAATGTGTCCAAGTGTTTTATCGTTACTTTTACCCGTAAACCCAATCCCACTGTCTTTCACTACAAATTACAAGACACTACTATAGAGAGATTACAGTCAGTAAAGGATCTTGGTGTATTTTTCGATTCTAAATTACTTTTTTGATGCACATATTGACAATATCATTAAAAAAGCCAATAGAGCACTTGGATTCGTTTTGAGATTTTCCACTGATTTTTATAATATTAAAACATATAAGGTACTTTATTGCGCTCTTGTTCGCAGCCATTTAGAGTACGCCTCTCAAGTGTGGAATCCAAATTATAACATTTATATAGATAGGATTGAGCAAGTACAAAAACGTTTTCTACGTTTTCTGCAATTTAAGACGCAATTTTACACTAATAACTACATTTCGCGATGTAAAAAATTTCATATTTTGCCTCTGCACGAACGTAGGCGCATAGCAGATATGATTTATCTTTTTAAATTGGCAAATGGTCATATTGACTGTCCGGAGCTACTGAGTAAATTAGGCTTTACAACAAGAGCTACCCTATTAAGAAAGCCTCGCTTACTCCACGTGCCGCATACCCGGAATAAATACAGGCAAAATTCTTTTATAATACGTGCATGCAGAACTTTTAATGACATTTCCAATAGCGTTGACTTGGATCTGTTTAGTACCAATGTTTCTCGAATCAAAAATATTTTAGCGAAAAAAATTCTTTTGTTGAATGTTTTCTGTGTAATTTAGTTAATTTACTGTATTTGTCTTAATCGATGTTTATCTTTTACCGACTGGAATTATTATTTTTAAGCTCATATTGTCTAGTGGTGAAAACTTTTAAATGGCCTTCTAGTTGTTATTCACTTATTTACTGTTAATGTTAGCTGTAAGTTTTCCAATAAGAATAAAATAAAATAAAATAAAAATAAAAAATTCATTACAGACCTTGAAAATTCCATTTGTAAACATCGTCTACTCTCGTAGATTGCCTCATAGGATGGACGTACGCCATGCTTGATACGCTTGGCAGGCGGGTTGGCAACTGAAGTAATTTATTATACAACAATTACTGAGCTGTTATCAGCAAGATGCCACTCTCCACCAGTTGTTTCAGTTTCCCTCTGTCTCCTCGTATAACATTTGTTATACAACAATTACTGAGCTGTTATCAGCAAGATGCCACTCTCCACCAGTTGTTTCAGTTGCCCTCTGTCTCCTTGTATAACATTTGTTATACAACAATTACTGAGCTGTTATCAGCAAGATGCCACTCTCCACCAGTTGTTTCAGTTGCCCTCTGTCTCCTCGTACAACATTTGTTATACAACAATTACTGAGCTGTTATCAGCAAGATGCCAGTCTCCACCAGTTGTTTCAGTTGCCCTCTGTCTCCTCGTATAACATTTGTTATACAACAATTACTGAGCTGTTATCAGCAAGATGCCACTCTCCACCAGTTGTTTCAGTTGCCCTCTGTCTCCTCGTATAACATTTGTAATACAACAATTACTGAGCTGTTATCAGCAAGATGCCAGTCTCCACCAGTTGTTTCAGTTGCCCTCTGTCTCCTCGTATAACATTTGTTATACAACAATTACTGAGCTGTTATCAGCAAGATGCCACTCTCCACCACTTGTTTCAGTTGCCCTCTATCTCCTCGTATAACATTTGTTATACAGCAATTACTGAGCTGTTATCAGCAATATGCCACCTTCCACCAGTTGTTTCAGTTGCCCTCTGTCTCCTCGTATAACATTTGTTATACAACAATTACTGAGCTGTTATCAGCAAGATGCCACTCTCCACCAGTTGTTTCAGTTGCCCTCTGTCTCCTCGTATAACATTTGTTATACAACAATTACTGAGCTGTTATCAGCAAGATGCCACTCTCCACCAGTTGTTTCAGTTGCCCTCTGTCTCCTCGTATAACATTTGTTATACAACAATTACTGAGCTGTTATCAGCAAGATGCCACTCTCCACCAGTTGTTTCAGTTGCCCTCTGTCTCCTCGTATAACATTTGTTATACAACAATTACTGAGCTGTTATCAGC